GGATCTCAGTGAGGCTTTTAATTGTCTCACGACGAAATCTAGTTATGGAGAAACGTAGCAGCATATAGTATAGATGAAATCACCTATTATAAACTGAGAAATTTCTTTAATCCATGTTTTAGAGATTGAAATATTTTTGACTGGTGTACAGGTGACATGCAGCCTTTATGGCCCTCGTGTAGGAGATAGGTCAACCAATCAACCAAATACATGTCGAGCTATTCTGAGTATATATGTCAAGAAGCATTTTTATTGCTTTTATACATGCGAATTGTAGCCCTGATGATAGTAAAGTCAGCACTGCCACCGATGCCTGTACTTCCATAAGGACATCAACAAACACTAGCATAATTCATCAACTACAGTGATGCACACCATGTAACAACCGTGAGAGAATCTATTTAGGTTAAACATCCAAACACTTACGCAAATGTATTTCAAGACAAATGAAGACAAGAATCTATCAACCTTAACAGTGCCTTTAATTCTCTCAACTACTTAATAAACTTGAACGGCTCATTGCAAATAGTCAAAGAGAACGACGCCAAGCTAGGAAAATTCCTGGAATCTGCACTCATCTTGACCCGGGCCGGGACAAGACCGGGGAACCTACTACAATACAATTCACTTATCATTATTTCTCACAGCATAAATAAAACTGACCTATTTCCTCTAGTGAGCTCCGCTCGCCTCTGATGTCCAGCTTCTTCACTACTCTTCTACCTCCAGTACACGTTTCTGGTCTCATACCTCTGATTTAGGAGAAGGGACTCAACACTTTTTGTTCATGCTGAGGTACTGATTACCTCAGAATCACCTCTCCACTTCCATTGTCTCCTGTTTTGTGATCGCCCATATTCAACTAGAGAAGCCTGCACAGGCAAAATATTTCGACAATAAGGATATCTAAGAGTTGCGTACGTGTCATGGTAATCCACTTGTTGTTACTGTTATTTGACTGACACAGCAGAACTATGGTATCTTGGTACAGAAGATGTCTTCTCCATCTCTGTTCGGAGAACTATTTGGTATGACTTTTACTAAACGGGTCCCGCTACGCCTCGCTTCTAGCGACCTCAGCTTTCTACAAAGGTTGAAGGACTGATCACCGTAAAATCATCTTTCCACTTGTATTATCTCCAGTGTTAAATTCGACTTCAACAATGACAACAGTTTGTAGTGTACAGCTGAACTTCTTACCAGACAACTTTACGGTTCATGAGAATCACTAACTTTACGTTCACACGACTTGCTCTCCACCTTGCCTCTGTTCTTATCCTCGCTCCCCCATAATATGATTATGTGTTTGTGACTTAAAAAGCCACTTGAGAGGGCGAAACGTTGTTGACAAAGGTTTTATAACAACACTGCACTTGTGTCATTGCCTTGATAAATCTAAATCAGATGAATGAGGACGGATATTTCTCTACTAGAGCCAGAGAAGATGGGCATCAGTTGAAGACATCAAATGTCATGCCTTAGAGTTGATCCAGAGGTTAGCAGTCGAGTTTGTAGAAGTTTTCCTATGGCCCAAGATTCCATGGCATGGCTGTCGTCAAAGAATCACTACATTAATGTTATAAAATACTAATAAGTATTCGTCTTGCAGGTGCTGTATGCCTTTAGGGTAATGATAATTACTAGATGTCTACTACCAACTGTTTTGGCATAAACTACTTCTACTAGTGGGGTCCTCCCACTTGTGAAGATATCCTCAATTGCTGCACCTCTCCTCTGGCTCCAGTGTATTTCCATCCTCATAAACTACTATAGATTAATCACGACTATGAGACTGAAGGCTTATCAAGACTGAGGAACTGAACACCTCAAAATTACCTCTCCGTTTCCTCCAACATCTCCAATATTATTATATTAAAAAAATGTATTTAGCCCGTATATGTCACAAAGCGCCCAAAGTTTGAGATGCTAAGTAGGAGATCTTAGTAATATAGGAACAGAGGAACTAACAAGGAAAGCTAGAGTTCCCTTAATAAATACGTATCATTGTCTCCATTATATTCTGTGGTAAGAGACATGAATGCAGTATAATGAGATCATAAACAAATAACTCACACATAGGGGAAAAAAACGTATGACGACGTTTCGGTCCAAGTCAGACCGAAAAGTCGTCATAAGTTTCTTCTATGTTCGGGTTATCTGTCTATTGTTTCAGTCAGTTTATTGTGCCTCGTAATTTTTTATAATGCGATTATTTTGGACGACTCTATGCTCATACACAGGACTTTATCAAGTTACAAAAGTCGTCATGAACGATCACATTAAAATACATTTGTTTCTTTTATGTGCGTCTAATTAATAAAGCTACCCTAGTGCTGTATAAATAAAACACAGTATGTGCGTTATGGCACTTTATTTGTGAAGTCGTTTCGTTAACCAGGGACTTTATTAATTTATACAGAGAAAAACAAGGGTTGAGAGAGATCCTCGCTAAGACATCGAAGATGATGAATGTTAATGAGTTCTGAATAATGGTGTCGGGTGTGGCTATTCTGCTGATACTAAACATTCTGCTGCGATGGTCACTTTCTAAGTTTTGCCTCTGGGAAATTAATAAGGTGATTCTTGGTGTTTCTGTGTAGAGTCAAATAACGGAGAAACTTGTGGAAAGACCGACGTTAGCAATACATACACTCGACCTAGAAACACCGAGAGTCATCTTATGAATTTCCCAGATTACCGAAGAATATGACTGTTGCAACAGATCAAGATTATCAAAGAATATATATAAATAACAAAAAGGCAAATACCGTGACTGGAACAATACACAAATAACCCGCACATAGAAGAGAGGAGCTTACGACGACGTTTCGATCCGACTCGAACCATTTACAAAGTCACACTGCTAAACGTAGTTTCTTCTCTCCCAAACTCTCTACTCCTGGGAACTCTTCTGTCCTCTGCCTTCCCTACATTTCCGGTCTTTCTAATGTCAACAACTCTCTCCGTTCATAGACATCAAACTTACTTTCCGCCAGACTAACACTCTTCGCACTAATCTCGTTCATACCTCTCCTCCCTCTACAGATGTTCCTGGTGTCTACTCTATTTCTTGTTCCTCCTGTCCTCTTCAATACTTCGGAGAAACTGGTCGATCTCTTTATGACAGATTAAGGAGCACAAAAATAGTGTTAGGCTTGCCGACACTAACAATGCTCTTTTCTGTCACGTCAGAGATCACAGCCATCCTACTGATGGTCTTCTGCTAAAACTGTCTTCCCTACTTCCAACTTTAGCAGTCGCCGTCTGGTTGAATTCTCCCTAATACACAACTTTCCTTGTATGAATCTTAGTCCTGGCTTCGTCTCTGTAGATGCCTTCCTCTCTCACTACATTGTAAAATGCTCCAAACTTCAGAACACATCGTGACCTAACCTGATTCCCCTATTTCTTTTCTCCTCTTCTATTTTCCTCTTTCCTTTTTCCTCTTTGGCTGTTTTTTTCTGCCTTATTTGTTCCTCTTTATTTTTTTGTTCCCCCCTCTGTAGTTCTATACTCTTACCTTGTAGAATCTAGTCCTTGAGGCTTCGTCTTGTATTTGATGCTTCCTCTCTCACTCTTACCCAAACTCAGTTACTACTTCTCACCTCACACACCATCCTCTTATTCTTACTTCTCCCTCTGCTACCATTCTCCCTGCCGGGATTTTCTCCTTGGGTCTTGTTTTTTAACTCCCCGTGCCTATGTTCCACTTTTAATCCATCTATCGGTATGTTCAACTCCGCCCGTCGGTCTAGCTCTTAACCTCAACTCCAGCCCGCCCTAGCCCAACTCTGAGTCTATACCTCGGTTCTAATTTGGTCTAGTCTACGTCGACGCTGACTTTTGAACCTAGCCGCGTCAATCCCGGCACGGTTCTTATTCTTCCATCGCTCCACTCTACCATTTCTAATCACCTCCTGCCTATATATACCCATCCTATTCTCCTTTTCGTTAATGTGACTTTGTAAATGGTCCAAGTCGGACCGAAACGTCGTCATAAGCTCCTCTCTTCTATGTGCGGGTTATTTGTGTGTCAAAGAATATGACTGTTGCAACAGATCAAGATTATCAAAGAATATGTCTGTCGCAACAGATCAAGATATAAGATTGACTGTTGCAACAGATCAAGATTATCAAAGAATATGACTGTCGCAACAGATCAAAATTATCAAAGAATATGACCGTTGCAACAGATCAAGATTATCAAAGAATATGACTGTCGCAACAGATCATGCTTAGAATCAGCATAATAACTATAAACAATACCATTACACAAAACTCTGGATCATTCAGTCTTGGAAATCTTAGTTAGTCTTATCCTACCAATACCTGAGACTTCAGTCACTTAACTCACCAACTGTGCTGGCTAACATATACCTGCTGTACTTCGTACTTTCCCCTCCAGGATTTTTCTCCAACTAACAATACACAAGTCTTTCAACTCTCTGTGTGAATTGATAAGTATCTGGTGGACGAACCGTCACAAATATAATGTCGTAATCTGCATATTGACTTATTTGCATACTATTGGTGTATTCTACATTTATATTACCATACCCTGTATTTGTGTCTTCTCTACTGCTGTTGAGAGTGCGGTGTTTGCATTGTGAAATAGTAAAAGGAACATTCTTACTATTAGTTAAAGTTTTATCAACGATTTTTATAGAGCTTTTTGTCTCTATTTAAAGATATGTTGTGGCTAATAGCTTTCAGTATTTCGAGGAGAAATGCTGTGTAGTGTATAATCCAGCGTAAGTGGTTCACTATTCTTGGAAGATATTCTTCTTCTGTCATTTGAAGTGATCGCTGGTAATAATTTATCCAATGGATTATCAGAAGTTGGTTGAGATTTGTATGCCATTTCCAGACGTTGTGAGCACTCGGGAGAAGTTGGATTCTGCTTATGTTTTCATGAGTGCTATGGAAAGGATGTTGGTGCTCATAACTGAATGAGTGAGAGGACATGTAATCCATCCAAGTCGGTGTAAGTCGTGCAGTACCAGTACTACCATCCACTTCATCAAATACAGTATTTATTTCCATAGAAGTGTGTTGACAAGGTGTTGCCCTGACACTGTCTTCCTGCAGCCAGCGTTGTATCCACTTATAGACTGTGGACACGCTGACACCAGTCGCTCGAGCAATGGCATTATGGGACATACCACAAGCTCTCATGAGCACGAAACTGGCTCGTTCACTGGCACTTGTTGCTTGATACCTATATCGGATCTTCATAATATTCTGTGAAAATAAGATTGAAATAATATCTAGTTTTAATAAAGTAGAGGTGCTAGTTACTTTAGGTTCAAGTAAAAATTTTATGAAGCAATCGTTTAACTTTTTATGTATGCTATTTTTTAAAGTGTATTCCTTATTTAAAACGGGAAAAATGTATAATTTATTTTTTACAGAGCCCAATTTACAGGCTAAGAGCTATTACCCTCTCTTATCTAAATTCAAAGCACAGCATTATTTAAAGTTTGCTACCACTCCCCTACCCAGACCCGTAAAGATGACACCCACAATAATTAGCTAACACCTAAGCACCGTATTAAGGAAGGATAGTGCATTGCTTCTTATCCCGTAATGTTCTAGTTTAAGGAATAGGAAAGTGGGGAACCACTTGAATAGAATTATGAAATACAGGTAAACGAGATCTTTTATGTCTTGGCCTTAGAGGTGAAAAAGATGAATAATTTAAGAAAATATGCCTTCGCCTCTATTCGTCCCAGAATTACACTCAGGTACTTCTATTGTAAACTGAAGTAGTTACCATTAATCTAAAAAATGGAATTATACCAGAGAGAAAACGATAGTTATTCTTGACGAATTTTAAAATTCGTGAAAAAGAAGATGTTGTTGCGAATATAAAACCTTGAATTTTATGACATTATAGAGCCCAATGATCTTTCTTGGAAGATAAACACTATTAGAAGGGATAAATTTGTCCAAAAATAATTTATTTCTGTTTTTACATTTCAAACAAGTGTACTTAAATTACAGCTGAAAACTCAAGCTTATACCAAGCAGTTTGTTAAAAATAATATCAACTAAGCAAGGAAAGCTGATATATAAAAATCAAGGTGAAGGTCAAAATTATTACGTAATGCTTCCCAACAAAGTTTATATATTTTCAACAGTCTAAAAGATGGAAATATAAACACAAATGCAGTATAATGTGATCCTTTATTGACAACGTTTCACCCACACAGTGGGCTTTTTCAAGTCACACACAGATCTACCTGGGGTTGGAAGAATGCACTATAATTGAACAAGTATTTTCTAAACTCCACTATCCTCGTCACTTCATCAGAGACTGCAGAGCGGGCATTAAACATCTTCAACACACCCAGAGAAGACATTTGCCGAGAAGATGATACATAGCCTTTTCCCACAACTCCATTGTGCCAAACATGTTTTCCAACATCTTTGCAAAACGCATTCCAAAGTATCTACCTCCACAACCACGACCATCAAGGACAAACCAGTAGTACCCAGGACAAGCCTCATCCTCTGCAGAGGGTATACATAATCCCCTGTAAGACGCAAACAATTTAAAATGTGGGCGAAACATCAAGAGACCTCCAAACACGTATTTAGAACACCAATATGCAAGGCAGGACTGACGATACAAGGAATGCCTGTGTACAACATCGCAATTGAACAACATTAATTAACTAGAGAAACTCTAGACTTTATATGCCACGAAGACAACACTCAATACAGAAGAATCTGGAATCATCCTTATCTTTATAACCCCATTTCAACCAGAACAAGGCTTCTATAACATAGCTGAACACTCGCCAAGAACTTCTTCATCGCTATCCCACATAAGAATAGAACACTGCAGAAGGTTTTACTCTAAACTTGTCCAATACCCCTGCCTAGCTACCCAAGTCTAAACCTCACCGTTTAGATCATCAGATGCAGCATTCTCCACCTGACCTCAACATTCTGAACTTGACGAAAAATTACTCCTGTACCTTCCAACCCAGGTTAGATCCGTGTGACTTGAATACAGCCCAACTCGTGTGGGTGAAACGTTGTCAATAAATGGATCACATTATACTGCATTTTTGTTTATATTTCCATTGTGTCGGTATTTTATACCATTTATTTCCAGTCTAAAAGATATGAGAATCTCCTACATTTATTTACCAGCTAGCAGTTATTTTGATAAAGACAAAGCCTTTAAGTCGTGTTTCTTGGAGGTTTAAATCAATAATAATATTATAGTATCTCAGCTCCTTTATCAGCTACAACGAGAACATCTCTTGATTTACCATCCAAATGTAGACTGAATGTTAGTGAAAGTCATTAAAGAATCATTTACTGATATAACATCAAGCAGAGATATTGCTTCTCCATGACTATAGATGTCAGTGAAGGATTTCTCAGCAAGTGTTCCCACAAAGAGACAGTTTCACGTCTACTGAACAGATAAGAACAAATTATGCAGAATTACCCATCAGTCTATAGAGTGTTAAAGACTCTTCTACCAATGTTATCCCCAAGTAATAAATTAAACATAAGATTACTAAGAAGTTAATAAGGCAGGTAAACGAGCTTCGTAAACCTCATAAATATCTGTTTTCTCATGCTCTTAATCAATTCATTTTTCTGACCTTAAAAATTTTGATACAATTCACTTTATATAATATATCGTCAACAAAGACTCAGTCTTCGTCATGGTACAGAAGCTGATAATCTTAATATTTCCAATAATAATAAAATAAAATAAACTTAGTCCTGTGCTTGTCATGGTGTTGAATCCGAGTAAAGATCATAGTGATGGAAATAGTCTTCAGCAAACAAGCTAAGTGTTCATTATTTTCAAAGGAATTTCCACGGGTATTATATGTCTAAAATCTTAGTGCATTAAGGTTCGTAATAATTCATTGTTCTCGTCTATGTCCCTTTTCCCAAGAAATGGCTCTACACTGCTATAGATGTTTTCAACTTTTATAACTCCATTATATCTGACATATATCAGAGCCAGTGAACGGAATATACGTGAAGGAAGCAGACGATCTATGTTATAATTATCTCATCACCTGAGCAGTAAACACAAAGGCAGTCTAACTGAGCAAGAAAGAAGACATACGTACGATTATGACAATTATTATAGGTAACGTATCGCCATGAGAGGTTTCTGCATTAATATGTCATCCTCCACATCTTTCCGGCATTACATACATTGATAAATTAGACACAAGCTCAACACTTGGGTATTTTTAATGAGGAAACGTTTCGCCACATAGTGGTTTCATCAGTCCATACAAATTAGAATGGCGACACCAAACATGACACCCCCTACGACTGCTGCATCTCTCCTGCCTACAATACATAAGCCACTTCTTCGCACATATGTTGTATTCTTTTCAAAATTAATGGACTGATTACATCGACTCAAGGCTGAGGGACTGATTACCTCAAACTCCTCCTATTCTTCACCATTTTCCTTTGTATAGACTGATGAAGCCATTGTGTGGCGAAACGTTTCCTCATTAAAGATACCCAAGTGTTGCACATATATCTAATTTCTCAACTTGTTGGTTCTCTGAACCATTCATCTTCATTACTTACAATGAACAACCAAGCATGTTAAGCGAGGGCCAAGCAGGACTAGATAATCTTCAATCGATTGGAGATGATGACATACAACGTAAAAGACAGCAGTACATTTAATCTAGTGATTTTGCTTGTAAATAAAGAAATGTTGCCTATGTGTCTTACCTACCAAAGAAAGTTAGGATATAAAGGCGTAAATTACTTATAAGACCATATGTTTTAAAGGGTGGAACCGAATTGCTCAGCGTAATGCCCGTCAATACAAGCTCCAATTATGCGGTCATATGCTATAGACCCGCAGTCAGGCAAACTTGTACCCTTTTACCTGACAACCTTAACCGAAAGAAACCTATAAAGGCGTTACCCATCTAGAATCGATCTGACCGTAACGTATAATACCAAACTTTCTTGCTTTACTTTTTTGCAAGCAATATAGCAGTTTACTGCTGGACATTTTAATCTCATAGCAATTCTGAAACATTCGAGCACAACTAAAAACATCCCTTCCGAACTAAAAAGGAAAAATTCTTACCAAGCTTGTGCCCATGCTAGGCAAGTCCATCTGATCCAAATTTACTCATCATGTAACCTGTCTCCTATTTTTCTTACTTAATTAAAGCTAGCTTCAGCCGTAATTACCCCTGAGTCTGTTCCACAATGCCACAAGATTACAACCAGTCCTTTCCTATATCCTTTCTAAATCTAATTTTTTTCCAACTTGAGCCCATTGCTGTGATTCCCGTCTTCGTCAGATATTTTTAGCATATTATTTATACCTCCTTTATTTATTCCTGTCTTGCATTTAAACGCCTGAGCATATCACCCTAATTCTATGCCTTTCACTGTCCACAGATTGTCCTCGTAGAAAAGATTTCTGACACATGGTGTGGCTTGCAAAGAGTATGTAACCTTTATTCGGAGTATGTCCACATTCTCACATATGCTATCTCCCCAACCAGCGAACCAGGCACTAAGGGTCTGACGATCCAATGGGACCCCATCGTCAGATCAGTACCTAGGTTCAGCCAATCATAATGTAGATCTGGCAATTGTGAAGGTGATATGGTTACCACTCACGTTTTCACCCTTGTCATTTTCATTCTGATGCTGGTTGAGGCACGACTGTCTTTTGTCTCTTGGCTGCTGTTTTACCTTGACTACCGTGGCGTGCACTAATACCTATTTGTGTACATAGTGTATATAGTATACATACTTCTGTTTATACTTGGAGAAGGAAAATAAATTCAAAGATTTTAGCTGCGTTTACTTCGCTCTAAGCTAACTTTACACCCAGGATAACAGGCCGTAATGACCTGGGTCGTAATATATGGTATCAACTTTGTAATCCTTCTCTGTATGTTTTCCAACGCATTTGTATGCATTCTGTAATATGGTGACCAGAAGTGCACAGCATAATCTAAAGGAGGCCTTACCAATGATATATAAAGATGAAATATAACCTGATAACTCTTATTATTTACACTTGTTGATATGAAGCAAATAACTCTATTAGCTATATTATGATCACTTGTACAATGCTGTCTTTGCTTTAGATTACTCCTAACACAAAATTGCATTTCCAGGAGGATTAAGCTTTCCAGTCTTAAATTAAGATTATTAGAGTACGTTTAGCTCTTCGTAGAACTTCATCAAGTCATGACTTGCTAAAGCTTAATTCTGAGGGAAATGTAGTCTTACTAGAAGTTTGTTCTGCATATTATGTATTTTATACCTACACAGGTGTATCTGTGGCCGGATATTACTAAGGAACCAACCACGAACGAACAGACTGAATGAAACTAACGCCTTAAATATTTTTTAGTGATAATGTTACCAAAGTTATACAACTGTTATGTAAAAAAAAGACGCGTCTAATTTCAGAGAGTCTTAATGTGTTATTTTTACCAGGCTTTTAAGTAAGTTATATTACGCGAAGTATTTAAATTTAATTTTTACCGATGGAGAAATAATAATTAGTAATATCAGTAAATTCATCTGCATAATGTGCTTGTAAATTTTGAGTTAATGCTAATATATCCGCCCAAATTCTGCATTTCGAATTAAATAGCTAATATAAATGTACGTGACAAGATCAACGATATATATGAAGGACAAAGCATCAAGAAAAAGACATACTTATACAGTGTAATGTAAAATGTTATAAAATATATGGGAATTTTACCTTGCTGCTTAAGTTTGAAAGAGAAACTTGTATATGTTTGTGATTGTGTAGAAGCTTCTCACAGTGACACAGAGCTGAGAACCGATCACTGCCAACTGAGCGAGAAGCAGAAGAATGAGTCAAGCTGGATCCCGTCACTTCTTTTATGGGAGAACTGAGATCCACACGCGCAGCCTATTGGCTACCCTCGTGAATCTGAGATCATTCTAGAGACAGGTGATTGGTGCTTCCTAACATGAGGAGGCAGTTGATTGGTACTTTTAAGCAAGAAGCGGCAGGTGATTGGTGTTATCTAGGAAGAAGTGGTGCCCCATGGCCTCGTGGCTAAACCTCTCGCTTCACACGGTAAGTGTCTGGGTTCGATTCCCAGAGAGGGTAGAAACACTGGGCGTTCTTCTTTGCACCGGTTGTCTATGTTCCCCATCAGTAAAATGGGAACCTTTGAGTTACTCGAGTGGTGTGGGTCGAATCCAGGGAAAAAACTGACCTAATTTCTCCGAAATGCTCTGCATAACAAGCGGGTTTCTATATCGTAGTATGTCACTGATGTCAGCTAGGACTGTATACCTTGTACATGTAGAAATAAAGATATTATTATTATTATTGTTATTATTATTATTATTATTATTATTATTATTATTATTATTATTATTATTATTATTACAAGCAGCTGGTGATTAGTGCTTCCTAATTTGAGGAGGCAGTTGGTTAATGCTCTCAAATATGAAGAGTATACGGAAACGTAATTGTGTTAAGGTTGAGTCTGTTGTGGAATGCAGAATG